GGCTTATAGGGGGTCATTTTCTAAAATTATATATCAAACCCTAAAAATTTTGGTGAATTGATGAGTAAAATAATAACTCAAAAAATCAATAATAAAAGCATTTTTAAGAAGCATTATCTCTTATAGTTAGGTGATAAATTTAGCAAGACATTTCGGTAGACTCTCTTAACATTTTCCTTGTTTCAAGACTTCTAAGCCAAATAATCATTCAAAATTTTCATACCCATTTTCAGAAAATTGAACAAAAAACATAGAATAATAAAATATACTTATATTTATCAATAAAAAACAAAATATCAGAAAAACAAAAATATATCAACCTTAAACTAATGCAATAGGTTCAAGAAAGAGTTTTAACTCAAGTATAAGTAATATGAAGAGGGAATTAATAAGACATGAAGAAAGAAGAGAGGAAATCAAAAACTAATTCAGGATAAGAGAAGATTTAGTACAGAAATCAAAGAAGGAAGCACATCAGATAAAAAGTAAGAAAAAATGAACTACAAGGAATTTCTGGAAAAGAATTACTCCAGAATATCTGAGAGAATTAAAGAAGAGAGTAGTGTAGTTAAATGATATTAACTTTCAATATATTTTTTTATTTTCCCATTAGATTAGAGAAAGTTGGATCATTCTTAAAGAAAGCTTTTACAAACTAATTCAATTTCAAATTACATTTAGAAAGATTATATTAATTAATATAAAATACAAATCTAAATTTACCTTGTTATTTTTCCATATTTTACCTAATAAATGGTATAAAACAGTAAAAAGTTTAAACAAAAAGAGAAATCATAGGAAAAATAATTTAATTGATTTAAATATATATTTTGAAATTTAAATCAGAATTTTATTATAAGGTTTATAAAGCAATCATTCCATTATATATGATTGTGTGATAAATTCATTTATATTAAAAAAAAAACAAATTTTATTTCAGTTTGATTTTAATGATGAAACTTTGCAAAAATGAAGATAAAACAAATATAGAACTTTATAAGGAAAGTTTCAATTCAATAGAAAAAAGAATTGGCTTAGGTTTAATAACGATCTTTTTTGTCGATTTTGATTTAGGGGTTAGTTGACTTCTGAATGGCCCCTATAATAATTTGTGTAGTAGTGTTGAGCGAGCAGATAGAAAGACCTCGCCTCTGGTGCAGAGAAGACGGAGGTTTTTTTCTCCTCCCAGCTCCTCTTTATAAGTAAAATAGGAGTTTGCAAAAAAATAATATTTAAGCATATTTTTTTTGAGAGTTTTAGAAAAATTTTGGTATCTTAAGGATACTCCTAAAAATTCCCTTGAACTCTTTAAAATCAAATACTCCAAAGTACATATCATCAAGAAAGAATTTTATCTATGTTTATGCTCCTACTTAAAATCTGTAATAAATCTTTTTTTTATAAATGAGTGCAGTTTAGGCCATCGAGGCTAGCTAAAAAGAATGTGGTAATCAAAGAAATCATAATGACTTATTCAAGTTTTCTTTCTAGTTACTTTCTAGGCTTTATTGGATAAAATGAATTTCTCAAATATGATTAACTTGCAGGGTGTTTTTGAGTGCACTATAAAGAACGCCACTAATACTTTCGTTTTACTCATAATAGTATGAGTAAAACAATCAAAATGTAATCAAAATTTATAAATTTTTAGAATTAAAATCAAAGCAATAGAGCTTTTTAGAGTGCAAGGGCTTAAAAAAAGTATAGAAGGAGCCGAAACCTTTCTAAAAGAAGTTAACACTTATGCTTACTATCCTTTTAACAAAATTAATTGAGAAAATTTCCTATCATATTCATTAATAAGGAAAAATCAAATATTCTATAAAACAATTTTTTCAGAAAATTCCTTGAGAAGTATCCAAGAAATAGCAATTTAGTTTTAATCCATGAAAAGAGCAGATTAGAAGCTAAACGTATAAAGTATAAGAGAGTCTTAAAAAAAGTAAGAGAGTATGTATGTATTGCTCTAAATTTCATAAAATATATCTTTCATTTTGATCTTTCCTCTAGTTCATAGATAAGATTTTAAATCCCATAGAAAGGAAGGGTCAACAACAAATTATTAGAGGCTGGAATCTCTATCATTCAGAAGACTTTAAAAAATTAACTAGTTGAATGATATAAATATATGCTCCTGAATTAGGGTTGATAATAATTATTTATTTAAATAGATTCTCGATAAATTGAGTGAATTTATCTTCTAAATTTTTCTGTGCAATAGTTATATTTAACAATTATATGATTAGAAGAAAGTGCTGGATTTTTTTTTAATTAATGCAAAATGAAAATTTAACCATAATATTTCTTTTAATTAGGTAAAGCATCCATAGTAGTTTTGGAAATGTCATATAAAAAATCTAGAAAGATTCAAGTAGTATTCAGTATAGATAGGATTACTATCAAATTATATTGGCTGATAATTTGGATCAGTTAGCTCAAACCATATAAACTGAAAATTAAAAAAAATTGATTCCTCTTATTTATTTAGATATTTCTGAGATATTAAGGTGATTTGATTTGAAAATATATGAATATAACAAAATTCTTAAATGTTGCCAGCTATAATAGTAGTTTAAAATTATAAGATATTTCTTGATATAGTAGTTATCACTAAATTAAAGACTTAATTCATTAATTGATTTTTGAAAATAATTAGATAATTAGAGTTTTCTTTATTATATATATAATTAATTCTCAATAGATACATAATTACTTTAGATTTACATTATTTATTGTCATCCAAGATAAATGAGATAACAAAAACATTTAATGAATGAAACATTAAAATTAGTTAAGTAGATAATGATAAACATATATAAATTTTTGTATCTATAATCTGAAATACCATGTTCATTAATAAACTTATTAATTTACTTTGTTAGAATAGCTATTAAAAAAATGCTCTTAAACGAGTATAAATTTTTTTCTCTAAATTCATTTATCTTTTATATTCTAATAAATTGAATTCCATTATTCAAATTGCTTATAATTTTAAAATTATTACGAATATTATAATTCTCCCTTATCTTGCTATTTTGATTGAATAAAAGAACAATACTTGAATATAACACTTAAATAAAATACTTAAATGCAATGTTGCATATTAAATTAATATTTCTATAAAATTATTAACATATATAATATAATCGAATTTAGTAATATCAAGTAGATGATTAAGGTTTATAATTTTTAAAGAATTGTTTTTAGTCATCAGTCATATTTACATCTATCTATTTTGCATCATCGATTATTTTTGTAACGTCTATTGATAATTGATCTTTAATGAAGCTAGTCAAAAATTCTGAAATTTAACCAATATCTTTTTAGATTAAATCATATCCAAATTCTTTAAGAAAAGCAATACTAATTTTAATGATTGAAAAGATATCAGTCGCCAAAATAAAATCCCAAAAGAAAATCACACTATCAATAGGAAATGTATATAAAAACTAAGTTAAAATCCATTGCCAAATGTATTATTAATCACTTATACCTTCATCTTAGAAATGCTAGTAAAGAGCTGGAAGATATTCATTAAAATTCTTTAAAAAGACTTGACACAAGGCTTTAGTGTAATTGAAGTTTACTCTATATATTTCCCACCATAAGAACATAGGATTAGTATTAATGAAATGAATGAGCCAAAAGACTTCCTCCTCTTTACCTCCGCTGACAATTAAAGAGAATCCAACTATATAATTCATACCTTATACATATCCAATATCCTCATTAAGAATGGAAAGAGCTTTGAGAATGGATAATAATTATTGCTAACCTTAATTATAATCTTTAAAGTGATCATGAGAAGGAAAGGTTCTATTAATATCTTTTGTTATATCTTCGAGAACTTTCTGAGATGGTGTTTGATTTTTCAATTTTTAATAAAGAAGAGGATCATAATCTCTGTTCCTATAGACTTGAGCCATCCAAAAATTCCATCTATATTTGGAAATGGCTCCATCCATAAGAATATTTTTAAAATCTTCGTTATTCATTTCTTTTACAAGGTAAGCGTCTATAATCTCTTGATTTCTCATTTTGAAAGGCCCACCAAGTTGCTGTGCTAGAGACAATATTATTTTTTAAGAAAATTGCTTGTTAGAATTTATTTTTGGCTCTTTGCATAGATCATCTTCATTAGTCTGTTATTATAATTACTCAATCGATTGTTATCTTTTTAATAAAGCACTATAAGTCACATCATTTATAAGTTCATATTTTTTCTGATAATATTAATTCCACTTTTATTGTTTCTCAGAATAAGTTGGATCATTTTTTTCAATTTCTTATTGAAACTCTTCACCAACATATTTGTATGTATTTACTGTTTTTGGTGGCACATTAGGAGTTGGTGTATTCACAGGTTTTCCATAACCTTTAATGATAATTTTATTGGTTTTATCTTTTGTACAAATAAGTCCCATTTAACCTAAAATAATATATAATTTATATATATATATATAAGAATATCAGTTTTTGTAGATCCTGATAACATCTTGGATTTTTGTTCTGCAGATTGGACAATCTTTCAAATTTTTACTGCATTTTAGACAAGCAGTATTATGTTTACAGGGCATGTATAGAGCATCTCGATCATTTTCTATACAAATTATACAATTATTCTCGTTATTCTAATCGGTAACCAATTATGTAGTTCTTTTACATAAATATGTAGAAGTGGTTCCAATTTTAAAAACAGTTTAATTTTTTAATGGATATAATTATGAGAATTATCCTTCTTTAGACAACCTCAACCAGGAACTAAAATTAAATTTAATAAATTTAACCCGTTAGTTGATCCCATATCTTCCAAATATACACGTCCTTCAATAAGACAAATTTTGGCATGAATATTTGAGAGATGATGATCTTCACTAAAAGTGAGATCAGCAGTTTGTTTTCTGCCTACAGTTGTAACACATTTTTAGGGGTTTAAAGCAATTATGTGTTTTTCAGAAGAATTAAGTCCTTCTATTATGAGCATGACAACCTCGATATAGATAAAGAAAGATTTACTTCAACTATTTGATTATTCATACTCAATTACTAAATCTCAAATTAGTTACTACCTAATTCTATAACCATTCCAATTTCTAATTCTAATTTACTTTCGACTTTGATAAAAGTACCAGTTGTTGATCCAATATCTTTAATGAAAAACTAAAGTATTAAACACTTAAATTACATCTTCATTTTAAAACACTATTTCAGCATGAAATCGACTTATGCTTTCTTCCAATATTAATATTTAATTACTAGAGTGCCTACCTATTTTTCCTCCAAATTCTTTTATACTATAGAAATTAGTCTAAGGTCCTTCAGTTGGTTAAATGATGAGTTCATTTTATACTTTTGATACTAAGTTTTCAACTTCTTATTCTTATTAAATGCCGGTTTATTATTTCTTTAAAAACTAAGGCTTATTTTCACTACATTATTATGTATTGTTTATTACATTTCACATAATGGTTGCTAAAACTATTGGGAATAGATTTCATTATTCTTAATGTAATTAGTCATCATGTCATGTGATACATTAATTTATCCATATTATGGTTATGTTTATTCTGTATTTTCAAGAGAAGTGTATTCTTATTCCATCTTATCACATCTTTTATCATCAACTATTACTGATTTAATGTGTTAAGCATACTCTTTTAATCCATTTTTCAACCCTTTCTTTAAAATTATATTTACAATGCATTAACTTTTTTCTAACTATCTTACTACTAATTCCTAGATCATCAATTAAGTCATTTTCTTCTATTAATTCTAAACATGATCCATCAATTGAATTATTTGCTACTCTTAAAAATGAATACATACTGAAAGTGCTTTATAATGATTATAAACCAACAAAATTGAGCCATTATGATACATCCTCTAGAGACCATTTTTTTGGATCTTTGGGAAGAATTGTATAGAGAGTTTCATAATCCATATTTTATATTTTAAATTTAAAAGCACTAACTGAAAATTATTATTCACAAATATAATTGTTTCATCTTACTATAAGATAAGTACACTAATTCTGGAATAGCTAACGTATAATTATTGGCTCCTATTATTATACTTTTTGTATTCAACTCTGACTCTATTTTCTTCATTTCTTCTTAATGTCCTGGTGAAAATCTAGTAAATGCTTTTGACCAACTTTTAGTGATTATCTCTTTTGGTTCAGGAATCTTGACACCCAAATGTTTACTCAATTCACTCAAAATTACATGATCATTCACATCATATATTGACATAACAGACAAATTAGTAGCATTCTCAGGATATTAAGAAGGAAAAGAAAGTGAATCTGCTACCATCCCCAATATTACTTACTCTTACTTTGGATTTATTAAATATCCAAAACCTTAAAACTTAATATTACTATCTATTTTATACTTCCTTAGGTAATATCTTCTAATCCCAACATATATTTCTTGTCACCAATGAATTGCATTTAACCCCTCTAAACATCTCTCCAATCTTATTCAAATTAGAATTAGTCATTATCTAAGATAATTGATGAGTAGGAGCATTCAATATTAAATAATCATAATTTATTCTCTACTCTTCCTATTCCTCTCTACTTTCTACAATTAATTCTTTTTTTGCTAGATCAATCCCTTTTGCTTTTGAATTCAACTACATTTTATATTCCATTTTATAAGTCTCCTATAAATAAGTATGCAATCTTTTTGTTAAAGATTCTACACCATTATTGAATCTATAACTATTTGCTATTCAATAATTATCATTGTTACCTCCTTTCAATTTCTCATCT